CCAGCGCCACTACTGTTGCCACATAAGGGGTAAACCTTTGTATTATCGTCCCCTAACCAATTGGCTGCAAAAAACAGGAGAAGAAAAAAATCAATGTTTGGCTAGAATCAATGTTCAAAAAATTCTCATATGGCTTCCTTTTTTTTTAATGTTTTGCGTTTTTTTCTCATATTAAGTTAGGAAATGGTAGGCATTAAGGCGGTCCGGCCAGAGAGTACAGGACACAGGCGCAGTCAACACCCGCTAGGTGGCTGGGGTCCCCGCCCACCACCACGCTGGGTGGCTGGGGTCCCCGCCCACCACCACGCTGGGTGGCTGGGGTCCCCCGCCCACCACCACGCTGGGTGGCTGGGGTCCCCCGCCCACCACCACGCTGGGTGGCTGGGGTCCCCCGCCCACCACCACGCTGGGTGGCTGGGGTCCCCGCCCACCACCACGCTGGGTGGCTGGGGTCCCCCGCCCACCACCACGCTGGGTGGCTGGGGTCCCCGCCCACCACCACGCTGGGTGGCTGGGGTCCCCGCCCACCACCACGCTGGGTGGCTGGGGTCCCCGACCACCACCACGCTGGGTGGCTGGGGTCCCCCGCCCACCACCACGCTGGGTGGCTGGGGTCCCCGCCCACCACCACGCTGGGTGGCTGGGGTCCCCCGCCCACCACCACGCTGGGTGGCTGGGGTCCCCGCCCACCACCACGCTGGGTGGCTGGGGTCCCCGCCCACCACCACGCTGGGTGGCTGGGGTCCCCGACCACCACCACGCTGGGTGGCTGGGGTCCCCCGCCCACCACCACGCTGGGTGGCTGGGGTCCCCGCCCACCACCACGCTGGGTGGCTGGGGTCCCCGCCCACCACCACGCTGGGTGGCTGGGGTCCCCCGCCCAACACCACGCTGGGTGGCTGGGGTCCCCGCCCACCGCCACGCTGGGTGGCTGGGGTCCCCCGCCCACCACCACACCACCCAACGCTCACCCCGCCTCACCACGGGAGGACCAATATAAACACCTACTGAACAAAACACAGATGACCGTTGTTATTGTCACACCCATCCCTGTCCCCTAACCTCCCCTCAGGCTAGACTCGTCCATCCACCGGCCTCTGGAAAATTCCACCCTCTATATCTACGGTATTATCTAAGAAATGCATTATCTACTAAATCATAACAAAAGCTATATCATACGTCTACTACATCATATCAGAATCTATCAAACCTTACATCTATCAAAATCATACAACTGGATCCTACATGACAATTTTGAGGTCATCTTGAGATGATTTCGGGGCTTAGCGTCCCCGCTCCCCCGGTCCTCGACCAGGCCTCCTTTTTGTTACACATCCCCAGGAAGCAGCCCGTAGCAGCTGTCTAACTCCCAGGTGCCTATTTACTGCTAGGTAACAAGGACATCAGGGTGAAAGAAACATTTTGCCCATTTGTCTCCGCCTCTACCGGGGATCGAACCCGGAAAATCAGGACTACGAATCGGAAGCACTGTCCACCCAGCTGTCTGGCGCCCAAACTAGAATCAATGTTCAAAACATTCTCATATGGCTTCCTTTTTTTAATGTTTTGCGTTTTTTTCTGATATTAAGTTAGGAAATGGTAGGCATTAAGGCGGTCCGGCCAGAGAGTTCAGGCTGACGCCAGACAATGCCACAATGATGACATCCGCCATTGGTTATGAATGCCTACGAGACCTTGTGCATGTATTCTCAAAAATCTAGAAACTTCAAGGAGTTGATAATTGAAATACTATTATAACTAAATTTTAGCTTCTGGTGACGTATTTTCAAATCCATAATAAAGGATCAATTGTACTATTAATAATCTTTGAGTCCACTATGTATTTATCTTATAATCCCATTTTATCTCAATAATCTGTCTAGACAATAAAAATAATCAATCAATATACAATGAAGGCTACACTCCCCCAAGGGAGGAGTCCAACCACTTTGGCTGGACGGTAAAGCGACGGTCTCCCTTCATGCAGGTCGGCGTTCAATCTCCGACCGTCCAAGTGGTTGGACACCGTTCCTCCCCCCGTCCAATCCCAAATCATTATCCTGATCCCTTCCGCTATATAGTCGTAATGGTATGGCGCCTTCCCCTGATAATTTCCTTTCCCAAGCGAGGAAGGAGCCAGCTCGACATGTGCCCACGAGCGCCCCGAGGCAGGGCGAAGTGTTTACATCAAAGCGGCGTTGCTAGAGAACATTTTCAAAAGGCAATACTGCACAAATTACTCTTAAATCACAAGTAATTACTCTCCAAGATACTCAAGAGAGTTCCTAGACTGTATATAAGGAAACATTCCTGATACATTTATCTAAAATATGAATGTAGAGTGGTCCACACCAGCAGGTGAGGCCGCCTCCACCACCACCTCATCTTAATCTTATCCTAGCAACTGCTGCAAGTACTATATTCTGCAGCAAAGCTTTCATATCAAAATACAGAGCCTTATTTCATCACGAGAGATATTACCTGGCAACTTGTCAGAGAGGCTTTGCTTCTCAATTCCTGGGTAATTATTAAGTATTTATTAGAGTGTAAATTGGCCAATTGCATGCTTTATAACCTTAATAAGTCCACAAATAAACTGAGAGTCGTTAGGCTGAGGGGCAATACCCCATTAATTAGTAAGTTTTGCCCGTCCCTCGCCACCACCCCGGGGCTACGTCTCAGCCCGTCCTCGCCACCACCCCGGGGCTACGTCTCAGCCCGTCCTCGCCACCACCCTGGGGCTACGTCTCAGCCCGTCCTCGCCACCACCCCGGGGCTACGTCTCAGCCCGTCCTCGCCACCACCCCGAGGCTACGTCTCAGCCCGTCCTCGCCACCACCCCGGGGCTACGTCTCAGCCCGTTCTGATGGGCAATATTGGGTAAGGTTACATAAGAACAAAGGTAACTGCAGAAGGCCTATTGGCCCATACGAGGCAGCACCTATTTATAACCACTCAATCCCACTCATATACCTCACAAACCAGGCCAACATGGATTTCGAGCGGGAAGATCGTGCCTCTCACAGCTACTTGAGCACTACGACAGTCACTGAGGCATTAGAAGAAAAACAGAATGCTGATGTGATATAAACGGACTTCGCAAAGGCTTTCGATAAATGTGACCATGGCGTGATAGCACACAAAATGAAATCAATGGGAATAACCGGTAAAGTAGGATGCTGGATACTCAGTTTTCTGTCAAACAGGACCCAGCGAGTAACTGTCAACCATATAAAATCTAGTCCAACTGCAGTGAAAAGCTCTGTACCTCAGGGTACAGTCCTTGCACCGCTGCTTTTCCTTATTCTCATATCAGATATAGACAAAAATACAAGTCACAGCTTCGTATCATCCTTTGCAGATGACACAAAAATCAGTATGAAAATTACCTCGGCTGAGGACATTGAAAAACTTCAAGCTGATATTAATAAAGTTTTCGACTGGGCATCAGAAAATAACATGATGTTTAACAGTGATAAATTCCAGGTACTCAGGTACGGTAAAAATGAGGACCTTAAACATAATACAGAGTACAAAACACAATCAAATGTACCCATAGTAGAAAAACAGCATGTAAAGGATTTGGGAATAATAATGTCTGACGACCTAACGTTTAAGGAGCATAACCAAGCAAATATTGCGACAGCCAGAAAAATGATAGGATGGATTGCGAGAACTTTCAAATCCAGGGATCCCATCACAATGGTTGTACTCTTCAAGTCACTTGTGTTGTCCCATCTTGAGTACTGCTCAGTACTCACTTCCCCCTTCAGAGCAGGAGAGATTGCTGAAATAGAGGGAATACAGAGAACATATACAGCACGCATAGACGCAATAAAGCACCTAAATTATTGGGATCGTCTCAAAGCCCTCCAAATGTACTCACTAGAAAGAAGACGAGAGAGATATCAAATAATATACACCTGGAAGATACTGGAGGGCCAAGTACCAAATCTACACAGTAAAATAATAACGTACTGGAGTGAACGATATGGAAGAAAATGTAGAATAGAACCAGTGAAGAGCAGAGGTGCCATAGGCACAATCAGAGAACACTGTATAAACATCAGAGGTCCGCGGTTGTTCAACGTCCTCCCAGCAAGCATAAGAAATATTGCCGGAACAACCGTGGACATTTTCAAGAGGAAACTAGATTTGTTCCTCTAAGGAGTGCCGGACCAACCGGGCTGTGGTGGGTATGTGGGCCTGCGGGCCGCTCCAAGCAACAGCCTGGTGGACCAAACTCTCACAAGTAAAGCCTGGCCTCGGGCTTTGGGAGTAGAAGAACTCCCAGAACCCCATCAACCAGGTATCAACCAGGTACCTGTCCAACCCACGCTTGAAACAATCGAGGGACCCCACCTCCACCATGTTACACGGTAATTGGTTCCACAAATCAACAACCCCGTTACCGAACCAGTATTTACCCAAGTCTTTCCTAAATCTAAACTTATCCAATTTATACCCATTGTTTCGTGTTCTGTCTTGTGTTGATACTTTTAGTACCCTATTAATATCCCTCTTGTTATGTCCATTCATTCACTTGTAAACCTCTATCATGTTACCCCTAACTCTTCGCCTTTCTGGTGAATGTAATTTAAGCTTTGTTAATCTTTCTTCATATGAAAAATTTCTAATTTGGGAGATTAACTTTGTTATCCTACGCTGAACACATTCAAGTGAACTTATATCCATTCTATAGTATGGCGACCAAAACTGAACTGCATAATCTAAATGGGGCCTAACCAGAGCAAGATATAACTGAAGAACACCAGGTGTCTTGTTACTAACGCTTCGATTAATAAATCCCACTGTCCTATTTGCCTTATTACGAACATTCATGCACTGATCCTTTTGTTTTAAATTCTTACTAATCATAACACCCAGATCCCTTTCGCAATCCGACTTCACAATCTCAACACCATCTAGCTCGTGTCTTGTAACTTTATCATCATTACCTAGCCTCAGAACTTTACATTTATCAGCATTAAACTGCATCTGTCAATCCTTTGACCATTTCAAAACCCTATTTAGATCAACTTGAAGTGATAGTGAGTCTTCTTC